GGACAATTAACACTTGGAGAGGTTGCCCTCAGAACTAGTGGAACCCACCTCACTGGAATTACTCAGGACTGGGCTTGACAGGGCCCTGGATAACTCAATCTGCAGTTCTGTCTTTAATAAGAGGCTGCAAGAGATGATCTCCAGAAGTTCCTCCCAAACTAAATTGTTCTATGACTCAGTATGGTTAGGCCACAGAGCACAGCACCATGCTGCAAAACGTAGACACTGCTCTGAGCCAACTGTAACTTACACACGGGCAGTAAAACATTCTTCACAGATACTACTGCAGCTAGAAATTAACAATATGCTGTTAATAGGATATATTAATAAAGTTTTTTACAGCTTCTATGCCTAGAGCTGGCTCATTTGGTGTTGTTTCAAACACACTAATGTACTTCTGACTTCGAAGACATACTTATGTTCTTTGCACGTCATCCTGTCACAGTAAAGAAAAGAAAAGCAATTCTTTCTACTGGCCACAGAGAAACTAACCTGAGGGCCACAGCTGACACGCAAGGAGAAACTTGATCCTTTTATGTTAATACTCACATTCTCTAATCCAAGAAGGACCAAGAGTGGGATTGTTGTCATTCCTCCTTGGATCCACTCTTCTAAAGAAACAGTGCCATCATGATCATAGTCAATTTCTTCCATCATTTCATGAAGGATCTACACAGTTTAATGAAAAATCTCATAAATTCCCTGATCTAATATAGCAAGAAGACATGTGCAGATCTCCAATTCCCTCATTCACATGCAAAAAAGGGAAATATGTGTTATAAATGTTAATTACTACATGCACTGAAGAAAAGCCTTTAAACCAAGAATTTTTCACAGATCAGATTTAATCAGAAAAAGACTCATAAAAGTGCTAATTGACAGTGTCATAGTGGAGTACAGATTATTATTATTTCTATTTTATCGATACATAGAATCACCTGTTGATAGGGAGTATCACAAAATGATTAAACACCATCTCTATCAAAATTAAAAAAACTTGTGATAAATTCAATGCTTACTGGACTCAGTTCAGTAACATCCCATTCAAGGTATTCTGCAACATGCATCATTTGAGCAATTATATTTTCCAGCTCCTACAGATGAAAGAAAAAGAATGATAATATTTAATGCAATATTATAAAGACGAATTCTACTGCAAGCAACTTACAATTCAAACGAATTGCATTCAGTGACACTGTTTCATCAGTGTTCATAATGAAATGTCCTTTACAATGGAAATTGTCCCCTTAGGTAAATCCCTCTTAGGTAAATCCGCTTCATGAGCAAAATGTCAGGCATAGACCGTAAAGCGTGCAGGGAGGAGAAATGTAGCCCCACAACCAATGGACAGCCTCTGGATTGAAAGTAGTAATAGATTCTTCCTTCCTAGTTGTTCATTCGATCATTGGTTTCATAATCTGAATTCCATCCTGCGATATAACGATGTAAGGTCCTTTAAATTCCAGCACTCTAACAAACTAGTTTTTGACAGCAATTGTACAAGTCACAACTTTCTAATGGAAATAAGGCATAAAGTGGACAGTATAAACTCATACAGAGATATTTTCTTACCATTGCAAGCTTGTAATTTCCCCTGATCACACATCACTAATGCTTTTCCACATTCATATATAAAATTTGGTTATCAAATGCTTATCTAGAACTATTCTGAATTCTCATGTGTATTTATCATGCACTAGTTATCTAATCTATATTTTGTATTGCCTAAAAATATGATACAGTATTTACCTTATACCTCTATGTAAATTAGCTTCTCTATTCCCCTATCACTTATAGGAATCACAGAATCACACAGAATCACAGA